TTGAGGTATTATTATCAATGAAATAACAATTTGAGGCTGGGTGTGGTGTCCCATGCCTGTAATCCCAGCACTTTGGGAGGCCAAGGCGGGCAGATCAACTGAGCTCAGCAGTTTGCGACCAGCCTGACCAACATGGAGAAACCCCATCTCTACTAAAAATACAAAATTAGTCAGGGTGGTGGTGCATGCCTGTAATCCCAGCTACTCGGGAGGCTGAGGCAGGAGAATGGCTTGAACCCGGGAGGCGGAGGTTGCGGTGAGCTGAGATCGCGCCATTGCACTCCAGCCTGTGCGACAAGAGTGAAACTCTGTCTCAAAAAAAAAAAAAAAAAAAAAAATTGGGAGCAGAGGAGCTCCCAGAACCAATACACAGATTTTAGTATTCAAATGAACCAGTCAGAGAAAATAGAACAACATATTGATTTATTAAATTCCTGCGTGACTTTGGACAAAACCTATACTTTCTTTGGATCTCAATTTTCTCAGGTAAATGCGAGACTTAGGACAGATAGATAACCTCAACTTTAAAACTTCTGTGTTTCTAGTAGATGATCAATATTTTCTCTCCCATCTTCCTTTTACCAGGCTTATGACAAAGTTTTGTCTTTGGGTCATCTAAATCAGTATAAGTGATACTTATTGCCAGATGTGACCTTTTGTTAGCACAATGGAGAATCCCAACGCTAATGTCAATTTCTATAAATATAGATTGAGAGTGAGGAAATGTTCTGTCTCTAGGGAAGTTTAGTTATTGAGAATCTTTCTCTTTTTAGACTCTTGGTCTGTGGTCTCTTACTCACTCGTGACATTCTTCCCCAGTCTCACTTTTGTTACCTTTTTCTTTCGTGATCACTGATGCTGGTAGCCACCTACAATTTTGAAGTTCCCCACTCAGCCTTCCCTACTGGTAGACATTGCATTTGAGTTGTGCTTTCTTACTTCCTCTACCTTTTGAAATTTAAAAATAGGAAAACAAACCCACAGTCTTTCACATCAGCTGAACTCTGTTATTCATCTAACAGATTTTCTGGTGAATTCTATGGTACGACATATACAGTCAGAAACCAGCCATCAGTTCAGAATAAATGGTGTACAAAATTAAGAAAGAGCTACTTTTATTTTTGCTCTTAAACACACGATCAGAAATGGGAGGCAGCAGCCCATAGGAGGAGGCTTTGAGAAGTGAATTCAAGGAAAGGACGGCTCCTGGCCTTCTCCTTGGCTTTTCTCCTTACCTGTTCAACTTTCCCAAGCCATGGTGAAGAGTCAGTAGACTGATAAAGGGACTCTCTTAGGAGTCTAACTCTTACACTATGAATTCCAAAGACAGGCCCTGAGAAGCATGAAAACCCATCATAGCCATGAGCAATATAATTTCCAGAGACCCCACCCCAAAGCAAACATACTAAATGTGGTACCTGCCCTATTAAATATCATTTTAGGACGGGCGCGGTGGCTCACACCTGTAATCCCAGCACTTCGGGAGGCCGAGGCAGGCGGCTCACAAGGTCAGGAGTTCAAGACCAGGGTGGCCAACATGGTGAAACCCCATCTCCACTAAAAATACAAAAATTAGCTGGGCCTGGTGGCGGACACCTGTAATCCCAGCTATTCAGGAGGCTGAGGCAGGAGAATTGCTTGAAAGCAGGAGGCAGAGGTTGCAGTGAGCCAAGATCGTGCCATTGCACTCCAACCTGGGCAACAAGAGCAAGACTCTGTCTCTGTCACTCAGGCTGGAATGCAATGGCATGATCTTGGCTCACTGCAACCTCCACCTCCCAGGTTCAACCAATTCTCCTGTCTCAGCCTCCCAAGTATCTCAGGTTATAGGCGCCCACCACCACACCCAGCTAATTTTTGTATTTTCTTTTTTTCTTTTTTTGAGATGGAGTCTTGCTCTGTCACCCAGGCTGGAGTGCAGTGGCGCGATCTCGGCTTACTGCAAGCTCCGCCTCCCGGGTTCACACCATTCTCCTGCCTCAGCGTCCGGAGTAGCTGGGACTACAGGCACCCGCCACCACACCTGGAGAATTTTTTGTATTTTTAGTGGAGATGGGGTTTTGCCGTGTTGGTTAGGGTGGTCTCGAACTCCTGACCTCAGGTGAACCACACGCCTCGGCCTCTCAAAGTGCTGGGATTACAGGCGTGAGCCACTGCACCTAGCCTTGCTGTCAAAATTGAGTTTATGAAGAAGTAAATCCAGCCCTACATATTGCTTCCAAATTATGTATTTTTGATTACCAAATCAACAATTAATGAAGTTAACTTCACATTTGCATAGACCTTTAACATTTGGTAATTTCAGTACTATTGTTACTCTGTTTTGAAGCCAATCAATGGTTTTTAAGGTCTCAGACGTTTGTTTAGCTGCCTGAAAAGCTGGAAGCCCCAAGGCACTGCACATTAATGCCCAGTGGTTAAAAATGCTCTGACTGGTTATGCCCGAGCCCTGAGATCTTCACTGCCTTCTTCAAAGAATAAGAGCTGGTTTAGGGGACAGCAAGCTGGCATACAAATACACCAGTCTACTCCAAGAAGGTGACTCTCAAAGTAATTGGAGGCAGAATCCCTGTGTTACAATTAATTCACTAGGTTACCTTGAATGAGAGCTCCGCAGCCCTTTCCCTGCCCCTCAGTATAGCTTGAGCATCCCTAATCCCAAAATCCAAAACCCACAATGCTCCAAAATCCAAAACTTTTTGAGCACCAACATGACGCCACAAGCAGAAAATTGCACATCTGACCTCATGCATCAAGTACACACAAGTGTTAAAAATACTGTATAAAATTAGCTTCAGGCTATGTATATAAGCTTTATATGAAACGTAAATGAAATTCATGTTTAGACTTGGGTCCCATCCCCCAAGATATTTCATCATGCATATGCAGATATTTCAAAGTCCGAAATCCGAAACACTTCTGGTCCCAAGCATTTCGGATAAGGGATACTCAACCACTAGTGCCTTTGCAAACAAACACCTCATCTGGCCTAGGTAATGGCCCACAGTCATCAGTTCTGTGGAAGCAAAAGTTATGCCACACCATCTAAACCAGAAACAAGGGCTTCCTCTCACACATTAAGAGGAAAGCCATTTTTATGTCCGTATTATTTTGCCAAAATTAAAGAAGGAAGGGAAGGGAGAAAAGAGTAGGGAAGGGAAAGGAGAAGGAAGGAGAAAGGACTACACCATCAACACATGTTTAGAAAGCTACTGATCTTTTGGCCGGGCCCCATGGCTCATCCTGTAATCCCAGCACTTTGGGAGGCCAAGGCAGGTAGATCACCTGAGGTCAGGAGTTGGAGACCAGCCTGGCCAATACGGTGAAACTCCATCTCTACTAAAAATACAAAAATTAGCCAGGCGTGGTGTTGCGCACCTATACCCCCAGCTACTCAGGAGGCTGAGGCAGGCGAATCACTTGAACCTGGGAGGCGGAGATTGCAGTGAGCAAAGATCACGCCATTGCACTCCAGCCTGGGCGACAGAGCGGGACTCCATTTAAAAAAAAAAAAAGCTATTGATCTTTAACTTCTGTGCAAAATTACAAGTATCATTTCTTCAGAGAGAATGGCTTTCATGTGAGATACTCTCCCATCATCCCATTCAAAGGTTGTCTATAATCTGTTTTTGGTTTTCTTTTGTTTTGTTTTGTTTTTTTCAGTTGGGGGCAAACGGGATGTAATTCAAAGAACATCAGTTTCAGAAGCAGCTCATGCTCTGTTTAAAGCCAGTCCTGTCACTGTCACTCAGCAGTTCTCAAACTGCAGGCCAGGGAACTCTAGGGTGCTCCAAGGGTCTTTCGGAGTGTCCATAAGGTCAAAACTTCTTTATAATAATACTATGATCTCATCTGCCTGTTTCACTCTATTCTTTTCATGAGTGAGTTTTCCCAGAGACTACAGGATATGTGATATTGTGACAGATTGAATGCATATGCAGATATCAAAATCCAACTGGCTGCTATGAAGCCAGACATTCAAGATATTTATAAGAATGGAAAACAGTGCCATTCTTCTCACTATGTATGTCTGTATGTATGGGGGGAATGTTCTGGAAATATAATTTTAACTTTTAAAATGTTGTTTATGGTAACATGTAGTGGGATTATTGTTATTTTTAATTTTTAATTTTTTTTTTTTTTTTTTTTTTGAGACTGGAGTGCAATGGCGGGATCTCGGCCCACCACAACCTCCACCTTCTGGGTTCAAGCGATTCTCCTGCCCCAGCCTCTTGAATAGCTGGGACTCCAGGCACGTGCCACCACACCCAGCTAATTTTTGTAGTTTTGGTAGAGATGGGGTTTCACCATTTTGGCCAGGATGGTCTCGATCTCTTGACTTCATGATCCGCCCACCTCGGCCTCCCAAAGTGCTGAGATTAAAGGCGTGAGCCACTGCAACTGACCTTATTGTTATTTTTTAATGAATTTTAAATTCCTCAGTCTTAATGTCTAATCTGCTAAATATTGATAAATATAACCCACATAGAAAAAAGCTTCAAAGAGTTCATACCTACAACCAAAAAGTTTGAGAAGCCCTGCACTACCTAATAGTAATGACTGTTTATTGATTATTCCTTTGTACCATGAGCTGTGCAAAGCATACCACATTCTTCATCTCTTTTAATCTTTGCCACAAGCCTGTAAAGCAGAGGCTTTAAAAAAGCGCACCTTGCTAGCCTAACGTCTCACCACTGGACAAGAAAGAGATAACCAGGTCGGTTCTCTGACTCTGAAGCCACTCTCTTGGTCACTTTCTCTATAACTTTAAAAAAGAGTTTTTTTAACTGCTCTGAGCCTCAGTTTCCTTGTCAAAAATAGTCAGCATGAGGTACCCCGTAGTGTCCTCTGAAAAGCAGAAGAGTTTCTATGCATCCAGTCGCTACATGGGGGCCAACACCAAATTCACCCCCAGAAACTCTTCACCTCCTTTCCTTCCACTTCTTCCTTTTCTTTGACGTTAGACCAGGGAGGCTTATCAACTGTCCGTTTTCCTCTAGATGGTCTTCAAGCCGACAGAGAAGCTGACGGAACAGAAGGAGTGGATGAAGAGATGATTGTGACCCAAAGTCAGACCAACTTCATGTGCCCCATTACACTGGTACCGCTTCCTCCTCCTTCCCCTGAAAGAAACACGATTCACTTCACAGAGGCAGAAAGATTCCTGTTTGCTTTCTGGTTTGATGTCACTTAGGGAGTTAAGGAGGGAGTAAAGAAAAGTGCTGGGGGTTGAAGAGTATCCACGGGAGGTTCTTGGGCTGGAGAGAGCTGTCAGTAAATCGTGCCCTTAAGGATCCGGGACTAAAGTTATGGCCTACAGGCCAAGTGACAGTACTGCCACTGGATTCCCTGCATTTCCTTATCTAAAGCCTAATAATTATCTAAAGCCATGAGAATGGGAAGTTAAACATAGAAAGCTCAGGACTAGGACAAAATAGCTACTGGAAGTTGATCATTATCGTTCCTGAAAGCCCAACATCTCCTTGATTACAGTTGGAAATGAAGAAGCCAGTGAAAAATAAAGTGTGTGGCCACACCTATGAAGAGGAAGCCATTGTTGGCATTATTGAGTCCAGGCACAAGCAGAAGAAAAAGGCCCGGTGAGTGGACGCAGGGAAGGAAGTGGAGCCTTCCCTAGTGGTAGTCACTCAGAGGTGGTGTGTTCACGCTAGAGGAAAAGACACTTCAGTGTCTCTTGTAAATTCCGTTCACCTCCCGAATACTGTAAACATGGAAGTGGGCTTTCTGGAAAAACAATACTTGAGGGAAAAATTAGTAATCTGTTCAGGAAGAAGCTGAGGGAACTTCAACCACACCTTCAAAACAGAATAAGGCCAGGCGCAGTGGCTCATGCATGTAATTCCAGCACTTTGGGAAGCCGAGGTGGGCAGGTCACCTGAGGTCAGGAGTTCGAGACCAGCCTGGCCAACATGGTGAAACCACATCTCTACTAAAAATACAAAAATTAGCCAGGCGTGGTGGCAGGTGCCTATAATCCCAGCTACTCAGGAGGCTGAGGCAGGAGAATCTCTTGAACCCAGGAGGCGGAGGTTACAGTGAGCCAAGATTGTGCCACTGCATTCCAGCCTAGGCAACAGAGCTAGGCTCTGTCTCAAAAAAAAAAAAGGTTTAAGTAAATTCGTGGCTAACTCATAAATGATAAATTATTTTTTTAATTGGAAGTTTTGCAGAATCTTTAAAAATATACATAATACATATGTTATATATTATTTTATATGTATATCATATATATTATTGATTTTTAAATATATATTATATATATACACACACACACACATATATATATGTCGCCTTCCTTCCCCTCCTCCCATGACCACGGACGACCATGCTCTGTTCCTGTAATAACACAGAATCCTGAGTTAGCCAGACTGACTGGCATTGACTCAGTTTGGCATTTCTTGTGCTCTTATCGTGGATTTGTTGCAGGAATGGAATTGCAGGTGTGACTAGTTCTCAGTTGACTTCTGATAACAGTCCCTTTGATGTGTGGCTTGCTTCTCCATTGCCCAGAAATTTGCTGGTCCAGACCTAGAATTGGAATTCCCCAGCACTCCTCATCTGGGTGTGGACTTAGAGATAATATATTGGAGACTAAAGATATCTTGATGGTCATTCAGGCAAGGAACTTATCCTTTTTATTCTAGAAGAATAATGGCTTTGCTGCCTAATGTTTGCAAAATGTAGACCTTCTTAGTACATTTTGATCTGTTTTAAGTTTCTGACTTACAGTTGAAATGTCAGATTTCGACCAGGTGCGGTGGCTCACGCCCGTAATCCCAGCACTTTGGGAGGCTGAGGCAGGTGGATCACGAGGTCAGGAGATCGAGACCACCCTGGCTAACACAGTGAAACCCTATCTCTACTGAAAATACAAAAAATTAGCCGGGCGTGGTGGCAGGCGCCTGTAGTCCCAGCTACTGGGGAGGCTGAGGCAGGAGAATGGTGTGAACCTGGGAGGCAGAGCTTGCAGTGAGCCGAGATCGCACCACTGCACTCCAGCCTGGGTGACAGAGTGATACTCTGTCTCCAAAAGAAGAGGGGGAATTTGGGTTGTTAAATGGCATGGCATGCTTTCTTTTTTCTTTATGGCATGACATGCTTTCTTTCTTTCTTTTTTTTTTTTTTTTTTTTGTGACTGAGTTTCACTCTTTTTGCCCAGGCTGGAGTGCAATGGTGCGATCTCGGCATCCCGCAACCTCCACCTCCCAGGTTCAAGCAATTCTCCTGCTTCAGCCTCCTGAATAGCTGGGATTACAGGCATGCACCACCACGCCCGGCTAATTTTGTATTTTTAGTAGAGATGGGGTTTCTCCATGTTGGCTAGGCTGGTCTCAAACTCCCAAGCTCAGGTGATCTGCCCACCTCCGCCTCCCAAAGTGCTGGGATTACAGGCGTGAGCCACGGCACCCGGCCATGGCATGCTTTCGTTAGTTTCCTTATCCATAAATGGAAGACAGCCATTGTAATCGCCTCATTGGCATATTTGAAATTTAAATAAGATACATGCAAAGTACTTAAAGTAGCTGGTACACAGTAGGGCTCAGTAAAAATTGTCCCATCATCATCTTCAAACTTGAGCCACTATCAACATCCTCTTCATTTTTTTCCACCATTACTCTATAGGCATGGGAGAGGAGGACAGTTGTAAAGGAGTAAGATGAGCCAACCTGGAGTTTAGGAAGTTACTCCAATAGCAATGCAAAGATGGATTAAGGAGGCATGAGGCAAAAAAAAAAGTCAGTTAGGATGCTTTTACAGTAACTTAAGTTATAGATAATGAGAGCATAGAGATGCAAGAGTGATTGTGGAGGTATGGTTAACGACATTTGACGACTGAATGTAGGAGAAAGGAAGAAGCAGCGAGGGGTGGCTGACATTTCTCATCTGGGTGTCTAGGACTGTCATTTGCTCATTAGCCTTCAGAGAAGGCATGAGAGAGGAACACTCTTATTGGAGGATTGTGATAGATTCAGCTGAGGTCATCCTAAATTCAAGGTCCCAGCAATATAGCCCTGTGGAAGTGTCCAGGAATGCAGCAAATGTGAGTTTTGCAATAAGGGAAGGACTCAGAACTATGGATGTGGATTAGGAGGTTATCAGTGTAGAGGAGTCAACCCGCTCAACTACCATCGCAGACGCAGCTTGGAACTGATGCATTCGCCAGCGGAGAGCCAGCAAAGCAGGACCTGGGCCTCCCCCGCGATATCCGCAAGGCCAGAGCCCGACTTCGTTCTGCTCACTGTGACGTCTCAGCACCCTGGTGCCAACCCTCAAAAAACACTTTGTTGACCAGTGAAAAGATCAATCAGCGGAAGAAGACCCCGGCAAAGCAGTCTAAAACATAGCCAGGAGCCAGGAAGAGTGATGAGGGGTGGAGGCTCATGGGAACTTGCAGGCGGAGTGGGCAGGGTTCTGAAGGCCAGGTGCATTTGAGCAGCAGTAGATTAGAACTCAGGGCCTTCTTGAAACCGACTCCAGACGTTTCTGATGAAGCATGAAGTCGTGTCATTTCCCATGATGCACGTTAGAGTGATGAGTATTTCTGGGTTCGCTTTGTTTAGAAACGTCCATGACACATTGTCTCATTTCTTCCTCCTAGATTGTTCTAGTTATGTTTGTTTGTTTAGACTGGAGTTCCAGATCCATTGTGTTCTGGGCACTGCCTGAAATTTACTGTGCAAGCTTCAGGCCCTGGGAAGGCCTCTCTGCACTGCCTTGAGGCACAATAATATTGTTGAGACTTTAGCCCCAGCCAAGCACAGTAGTTAGAATAATTTCCTAAAATATATCTGTTAACAATAAGCCTATTTATTCGCTTAAAAATAAAGCCGCCTTATGATTTCCTTTTTTTTTTTTTTTTTTTTTTTTTTTTTTTTTTTAAATGTCAGCCACCCCTTGCTGCTTCTTCCTTTCTCCTACATTCAGTCAGTCATCAAATGTTGTACTCCAGGCTGGAGTACAACCTCTGCCTCCCAGGTTCAAGTGATTATCGTGCCTCAGCCTCCCGAGTAGCTGGGATTACAGGCACACACCATCACGCCCGGCTAATTTTTGTATTTTTAGTAGAGACAGGGTTTCACCATGTTGTCCAGGCTGGTCTCAAACTTCTGGCCTCAAGTGATCTGCCCACCTTGGCCTCCCAACCTTATGATTTTCATATATTAATATTTCTAACTTGACCACAGTCACTTTTTTGCTTTTTTGTTTGAGAACAGGAAACGTATTTTTAAAAGTCATATTTAAGAGCATGTAGAGGCCGGGCACGGTGGCTCAAGCCTGTAATCCCAGCACTTTGGGAGGCCGAGACGGGCGGATCACGAGGTCAGGAGATCGAGACCATCCTGGCTAACACGGTGAAACCCCGTCTCTACTAAAAAATACAAAAAACTAGCCGGGCGAGGTGGCGGGCGTCTGTAGTCCCAGCTACTCGGGAGGCGAAGGCAGGAGAATGGCGTGAACCCGGGAGGGGGAGCTTGCTGTGAGCCGAGATCCGGCCACTGCACTCCAGCCTGGGTGACAGAGCGAGACTCCGTCTCAAAAAAAAGAATTAAAAAGGGCCGGGCGCGGTGGCTCAAGCCTGTAATCCCAGCACTTTGGGAGGCCGAGACGGGCGGATCACGAGGTCAGGAGATCGAGACCATCCTGGCTAACACAGTGAAACCCCGTCTCTACTAAAAAATACAAAACACCAGCCGGGCGAGGTGGCGGCGCCTGTAGTCCCAGCTACTCGGGAGGCTAAGACAGGAGAATGGCGGGAACCCGGGAGGCGGAGCTTGCAGTGAGCTGAGATCCGGCCACTGCACTCCAGCCTGGGCGGCAGAGCAAGACCCCGTCTCAAAAAAAAAAAAAAAAAAAAAAAAAGAGCATGTAGAATAAAATGAAGTTGAATAGAAATGGGTCATTCAACAGCAGAACTCCAGCTTTGTGCTTGGAGTTCCTGTTTCAACACTTATTGACAAGCCATTCAACTTTTCTGCCTCAGTTTCCTCATCTGTAAAGTGGAAATAACATCAGCATCTCACAGCATTTCAGGGGCCAAAGAAATGGTAGGGAATTCCATTCTAGGTCTGGACCAGCACATTTCTTGGCAGAAGAGAAGCAAAAGCACTTAGTTGAAAGCTCTTTTGGGAGCGAAGAGCGCTAAACAAATAGCTGCAGGGTTGTTAAGACCGAGACTGATAGAGTTGTTATCGCTCCCCGTGCCGCTTATGACACATTATTTTAGACTCGGGGGTGTGAGATAGAATTACTGTCTGTGTTGAGGTATGACAGGAATCCCTCCCACTCAGATTTCCAGAGGTCTCTATAGACCTTCTGTCTACAGCTTGTAGACTAAACCTTGGAATTCTTGGGACCCAGATCCAGGAACTCCCAGGATCATGTACTCTTGAGCGTTTGCAGAGGCCAAGGTTCCCCACAGCCCTGTGGGACCCCAAGGCCCAGTTCCCTTTGCTCAGCAGTCACCTTTGTGCTTGCCCCGTGCTGCAGTGAAATGCTCTGCTTGGGCAGTGCCTGGAGGTGTGGACCCAGCCGCTCCTTCAAGGTTTGAAGGGCTGACTCCTGCGCAGCGATGATGCGGCAACTGAAGATCGGATATTGCCACACCGAACTCGCTCACCAGGATGTCGTGGGATTAATGCTGAATGCTTATGGAGACAGTTGTTTCTCCAGAGGAGGCATGCCCTGATTCAGCACTGTGGCATGATGGCCTTCTCTTATCCTTTCTGCTTTAAAAACTTGTGTTTATTGGAGATGAAGTGAGAAACAAGGTTCTTCCCAGTTCCAGCATCAACCTTGCCTCCAGGAAGTCTTCCCTGAGCCCGTATTCATGCTGGACAAAATGTCATTAGCACCCCATGTCATGCCAACATTGTCAGCACAGCTGGCTCCCCTCCACGAGTTTCTTGAGAGCAGAAGCTGTGGACTAGAGCAGGGACTGGTGCACGGCAGGACCTGAAGTGAACTCCCCAGTCCTTGACACACATCAGCCTGCTTATTTCTCACCTTATTTGACAGGCTTGTGCTCTGCCTTCATGTTCTTAAAGGGAAGAACTGAGTCACAGAGAATTTAGTCACTTACCCAGAGTGACACAGCCAGGGGGTTTAAGCCCAGGTCTTTGTCACTCTTGAGCCTGCAATTCTGTCAGTAGGCCATCCCGCTCCCCTTAGGAGGGCTTTTTGGTTCATGCTTCTACCATCAGAGTCTATCCCCTCAGTGCCCTGGGCTCCATCCCAATGAAGTGAAGGTGGGTGCCTGTTCTGCAGCTGAGTGTGTGGTTAAGTCCATCAGACATTGTCAGCGTGCTCTCATGCACTGACTAAAACCATGATGTCATCAGGAAGTCCTCCCCACCTCACTCTCCACTTCCCTCTCCACTGCTTATTCACTGTCTGGCTATCAGAGTTAAGGCCTTTGCTGGGTAGGATGGAAGAGACCAAGGCCAGGCCGTCCAAAGCAGATATTCAGGGTTATGTATTAAGGGAGGGTCATCCCAGCAACCTACTTGGACTTGCATTTCAATGTCATGGAAACCAAAGTTATGATACTTGGCTTTTATTGTCACAAAAGTGTCTGTATCCTCTTCATGATCTTAGCTGCTTATTTTCATACAGACATAATTCACCAGGCACAGTGGCTCACGCCTGTAATCCCAGCACTTTGGGAGGTCAAGGTGGGTGGATCACTTGAGCTCAGGAGTTCAGGACCAGCCTGGGAAACATGGTGAAACTCTATCTCTACAAAAAAATTTTTAAAAAATTAGCCAGGCGTGATGATGTACACCTGTGGGCCCAGCTACTCAGGAGGCTGAGGTGGGAGGATTGCTTGAGCCCAGGAGGCAGAGGTCACAGTAAGCAGAGATAGTGCCACTCCAGCCTGGGTTACAGAATGAGACCCTGTCAAAAAAACAAAGGAGAAAGAAAGAAAAGAAAGAAAAGAAGAAGGAAGGAAGGAAGGAAGGAAGGAAGGAAGGAAGGAAGGAAGGAAGGAAGGAAGGAAGGAAATGAAGGAAGGAAGGAGAAAGGGAGGGAGAGAGAGAAAGAAAGAAAAAAGGAAAGGAAAGAAAAAGAAGAAAGAAAGAAAAGAAAAACAAGAAAGAAAGAAAGAAAGAAAGAAAGAAAGAAAGAAAGAAAGAAAGAAAGAAAGAAAGAAAGAAAGAAAGGGAAAGGAAAGAAAAGGAAAAGAAAGAAAAAGAGAAAAGAGAAAAGAAAAGAGAAAAGAAAAGAAAAAAGGAAAGGAAGGAAGGGGGGAGGAGGAAGAAGAAGAGAGGAGAGGGGGAGGGAAGGGAATGGAAGGGGAGGGGAGGGGAGAATTCACTTTGAGACTTCACAACATAGGGGGACAGGCTAGGGAAAAATACAGATTTTTAAACTAGTGTAAAACATTTTTCCAACCTTGCCCTAATGCAAAGCCAAATCATCAAAATGATGCATACCTGGGCCAAATCACCCTGATCCTCTTTCATGTAATTGCCTTTCTATAATTATGATTTAACACATCATGTACCTGAGTATATAGGGCTTTGTTTTTTGTGTTTTTTGTTTTTGTTTTTGTTTTTGTTTTTTTGAGACAGAGTCTCACTCTGTTGCCCAGGCTGGAGTGCAATGGTGCAATCTCGGCTCACCGCAACCTCCACCTCCCGGGTTCAAGCGATTCTCCTGCCTTAGCCTCCCAAGTAACTGGGATTATGGGCACCTGCCACCAAGCCCAGTTAATTTTTGTATTTTAATAAAGATGGGGTTTCACCATGTTGGCCAGGCTGGTCTCAAACTCCTGAGCTCATGTGATCCACCTGCCTCGGCCTCCCAAAGTGCTGAAATTACAGGTGTGAGCCACCGTGCCTGGCCATATTTTAATATTTTAAAAATAAATATTGTTATTAAGCATATTATTTATTTCATTGATTAATGCCCCTCTAATGTAAAGACTCCTTGATTCACAGATCAGGGCCAAGAAATACTTTCTCTTTCATGTTGGACTGTTGGGCTTCCTACCACTAGACAAATTGGAGTTCCCATGACCAACTTTCTTTCCTTCTCGTTTGCATCTTTAGTGTGGTTTCCATATTTGTTGTTTTTGGTCTTAATATCCTGTGCTTTATGGAGAGCTGTCTCAGATCACTGGGCCAGAGCTCTGTGTGGACAGGAACCATATATTTGTATTTCACAGTTGCGTGCTTAGAACCTAGCACAGGGCTGATCCCTAGAAGAGTCAATTAATGCATGAATGGGTACGTGCCTGTGTTGGATATATGCAAGGTAGAAATAGATCCAGAACTTTAAAACTTCTTGGAAGAATGATGATGAGGGAACACATGATAGTCACGGGATCAGGAAGGGAATTAACATTATTGAGCACTGTGTTGCCTGTCACCTTGGGAAATAGGGGTTCTCTCCCCATTTTAAATCAGAGGCAAGAGAGGCTCAAGAAGGTTATTGTGAATTGCCTGTGGTCTCATAACTAGCAAGTAGGTGGTAGAAAGAAAATTCAGACCTAGATTAGCTTGACTCCAAACATTGGGCCTCTAATCTACCAAAATTTGGTTCACTTTGAGAACCAGATTCTTTGAGAAGAAATAGGTGATGTCATCCAGCCCACTGCCCTCAGAGAAGATCACATCGAAGCAGAGCCGCGGCTTGTTTCCATCCCTTTCTGGGTGACTCACACTGATGTCTTCAGCTGCAGCCTTTCCACTGAGTCTCAGTGGTCCACTCAGTCTCTTCTGGGAGAGCTACTGGGCATCCATTCCAGAGGAAACAGATACCAACCAGGATTGTGGCTCTGTGCTGCAGCCTGTTTTGCCCCATCATTTCCCACTGTGATAAAGGGCACTACCAGTCACTGATCTGCCCAGATGAAGCCGGCTTCTTCCCTTTCCCTTACACTCCACAGCCGCTCCGTTGGCAAGTCCTACAGGTTCTGTGGTCAGGCGTGTCCTGAAGCTGATCGCCATGCCACCCTCGACCAAGCTGCCCTCACCTCTCTCCTGCACCCTGCGGGATCCCCCACGCTATTTTCCCTGCCCCTCTCTTACCTCCCTGCTTTGTGTTCTCCATAAGCAGCCAGAGTAACATTTTCCAGATGTAAACCAAACACACCCCCCCATCTCAAAAACTTCCGGTGTTTTGTCTTCATATTTAAAATAAAATCCAATCTAGGCGGTGGCTCACACCTGTAATCCCAGTACTTTGGGAGGCCAAGGGAGGTGGATCACTTGGGGTCAGGAGTTTGAGACCAGCCTGGCCAACATGGTGAAACCCTGTCTCTACTGAAAATACACAAAATTAGCCAGGCATTGTGGCAGGCACCTGTAATCCCAGCAACTCGGGAGGCTGAGGCAGGAGAATCACTTGAACCCAAGAGGCAGAGGTTGCAGTGAGCCAAGATCACGCCACTGCACCCCAGCCTGGGTGAAAGAGTGAGACTCTGTCTCAAAATAAATAAATAAAATAAAATAAAATAAAATCCAAAGCCCTATTGGCTCACTGACCTCACTTCCAACTGCTCTCCCTCTTGTCAGGGTCGCTTCAGCCACATAGAGCTTGCTCTCACTCCAGGGCACCAAGCGGGACGTCCTCAGCACTGCACTCACTACTGCTTTAGCCCGGACCACATGCAGACTTGTTCCCATGCTTCATTCTGGGTCCTGCCCAAGATAAGATGTGTTTGGTGAGGCATGCCCTGAGTCCAGCCAAAGCAGCCATGGCCCCAGCACTGTCTTTTCTTGACCCTGCTTCGTTGCACTCATAGCCCATAAGGTGACCTGAACTTACAGCAAGCATTTATTTGGTTCGCTAGTGGTAGCCTGTCTTCCTCATTAGAAAGTTAGCTCTTGATAAGGTAGGCACTACTCACATATCGCTTGTGTCCCCAGCACCTGGACAGGACCTGGCTCAGGTAGGGACTCAGCGAATCAATAAATGAGGGCACCTTGGTCCTGACTTTAACACTTTTCCTTTTTCGTTAGAAGTCTTACTTAAACACTTGAGTGTAAAAGAAGTTTCTGCTTAAGGCAGTAAAGGGGACTGACTTGATGTTCTTTCTCCCTTGCAGTTGCCCTAAAATTGGCTGTAGCCACACGAATGTAAGAAAGTCGGATCTCATCCAGGATGAAGCACTTAGAAGGGCGATTGAGAACCACAACAAGAGAATGCATCATTCCGAATAGGAAAAGCCACCTGCCCGCAGGGACACCAGCAGCCTACCTCCTACCTCAGCCGTCTGTTGAGAGCAGTGCTGGCCCCAGCAGTTAGGGACTGGCTGCAGAGCATACTTGTTTGGGGTAAAACTTGATGCTTTTATGTGTGCTTGAAAACATTTTTCTAAGTTACACAACAGAAATGCAAGCATATTGTTTATTTTTAAGTGTTCTATAATGTTAAATAAAACTTTGATCATCTGCAGTGTCCTCCCTGCACGCCTCCTGATGTAGGGATTGTTCCAGAGGTGCAGGCTTTTCCATTTCAAGGACATCAGATTGATTTTTATAATAGTTTTGGCTAAAGAATGTTTTTCAGCCAGGTGCAGTGGCTCATACCTGTAATCCCAGCACTTTGGGAAGCCAAGGTGCGCAGATCACTTGAGGTCAGGAGTTCGAGACTAGCCTGGGCAACATGGTGAAACTCCATCTCTACCAAAAATACAAAAATTAGCCAGGTGTGGTGGTGCGCACCTGTAATCCTAGCTACTCAGGAGGCTAAGGCAGGAGAATCAGTTGAACCCAGGAAGTGGAGATTGCAGTGAGCCGAGATCACACCACTGCACTCCAGCCTGAGCAACAGAGCAAGACTCTATCTCAAAATAAATAAATAAATAAATAAATAAAAAGAATGTCTTTCAAGTGATATTTGAAATTAAAACATATAAAAAAACACCCATTGCAAGGCATTTTCTGTAAGTATAGTAAATAATAGCATTTGGTTATAAAGCAAAGTCAGTTTACTTTCTTGTATTTATATTGTATATTGACAGTTCCAAACATATAAATGCTTTTATTGTCATTCTGAATGGAATAGAATGCTCCAGTGACTGGCTAATCAGTGCATTGCAGTGATGATTGATGCCTGTAATGAAAACTTTGCTGCAGCCCTCCAAGAACCTAAAGTACCATCAACAGTAACGACATTCCAGCTGCTCTCTGTTTTTCTAGATGGCTTACTACAAGTGACTTTATCCCCCTGGGCATTAGTGTCTTCAGCCATAAAGTGAAGGTGTTCAACAAGATGTTCTCTAATGTCTCTAATCAACAAGATGCTCCCTAATGTCCTGTGACCCCTGAGAGTCTATGGACTTACACCAGCAGGGTCTTTAAGTTGAATGTCTTCAATTATATTCTAATTGTGTGATGAGTACCAATCATTTGTCTCCATTAGCAACCTTTTATCAACCTTACTATTTAATTAAACAAAATTTGAAGCATACCCTGATGACACTGGAAAACCAAGAATAGCTAATAATAGCTAACATTTATTGAGTACTTACTCTATACCAGGTGCCATTCTAAGTGCTTTACATTATATTAACTCATATAATCTTCATACCCCAGTGAGGGAAGCACAGTTCTTACAGATAAGGAAAAGTAGGCACAGAGAAGCGAAGTCACCCATGGAAAGTCAGAGATGGAACTAGGAAATGGCTGAGCTGGGACCATAATCTGGAGAGCCCAGTCCTAAAATCTCCATTCTTAACTCCATACCCTTCTCCTCCCTATTAACTTAATTTAGAAAATGAAAATATATTCAAAGCCCACATTTAGAACCAAAGCTTTTGTAAATAAACAAGTGTGCGTGTGAGTGTGTGTGTGTGTGTGCATGTACAAAAAAAGTCTAATTAAAATGGAGACCTACTCAGGAGGATCACTCAAGCCCAGGAGTTTGAGACCAGCCTGGGCAAGATGGCAAGACCCTGTCTCTATTAAACAAGAAATAAGGCTGGGCGCAGTGGCTCATGCCTAAAAAAAAAAAAAAAAAAAGACCAGTTTGGCCAACATGGCAAAACCTCGTCTCTACTAAAAATACAAAATTGGCTGGGCACAGTGGCTCAAGCCTGTAATCCCAGCACTTTGGGAGGCTGAGGTGGGCAGATCATGAGGTCAGGAGATCAAGACCAGCCTTGTCAACATGGTGAAACCCTGTCTCTACTAAAAATGCAAAAATTAGCCTTGGTGTGAGCCTATAATCCCAGCTATTCAGGAGGCTGACATATTAAAATTCCTTGAACCTGGGAAGCAGAGGTTGCAGTGAGCCAAGATTGTGCCACTGCACTCCAGCCTGGGCAACAGAGCTAGACTCTGTCTCAAAAAAAAAAAAAGAGCCACCCCCATAATTCAGTCATCTCCCACTGGGTTCTCCCAACAACATCTGAGAATTTTAGGAGTTACAATTCAAGATAAGATTTGGGTGGGGACACAGCCAAACCATATCATTCCGCCCAGCCCCTCCCCAATTTCATGTCCTCCCATTTCAAAACCAATCATGCCTTCTCAACAATCCCCCAAAGTCTTCACTCATTTCAGCATTAACTCAAAAGTTCACAGTCCAAAGTCTCATCTGATACAAGGGAAGTCCCTTCTGCTTCTGAGTCTGTGAAATCAAAAGTAAGCTAGTTACTTCCTAGATACAGTGAGAGTACATGTATTAGATAAATACAGCCATTCCAAATGTGAGAAATTGCCCAAAACAAAGGGACTACAGGGCCTATGCAAGTCTGAAATCCAGTGGGGCAGTCAAATCTTAAAGGTCCAAAATGACCTCCTTTGACTCCATGTCAAATCCAGGTCAAATGGATGCAAGAGGTAGTCCCCCATGGCCTTGGGCAGCTCCATCTCAGTGGGTTTGCAGGGTGTAACCCCCCTTCTGGCTGCTTTCATGGGCTGGCATAGAGTATCTGCAGGTTTTTCAGGCACATGATGCCACCATTCTGGGGGTTGAAGGATGGTAGCCCTCTTCTCACAGCTCCAGTAGGCAGTGCCCCCATAGGGATTCTGTGTGGGGGCTCTGACCCCACATTTTCCTTCCACACTGTCCTAACAGAGGTTCTCCACAAGGGCCCCGCCCCTGCAGCAAACTTCTGCCTGGGTATTCAGGCATTTCCATACATCCTCTGAAATCTAGGTGGAAGTTCCCAAGCCTCAATTCTTGACTTCCATGCACCTGCAGGCTCAACATCACATGGAAGCTGCCAAGGCTCAGGGCTTCCACACTCTGAAGCAACAGCCCAGCTGGGACACAGGGCACCAAGTCCCTAGACTGCACTCAGCAGAGGGACCCTGGACCCAGCCCATGAAACCATTTTTTTCCTTCAAAACCTCTAGGCCTTTGATGGGAGGGGCTGCCCCAAAGGTCTCTGACATGCCCTGGAGACATTTTCCCCACTGTCTAGGTGATTAACATTTGGCTTCTTGTTACTTATGCAAATTTCTGCAGCTGGCTTAAATCTGTCCTCAGAAAATAGGATTCTCTTTTCTATTCCATTGTCAGGCTGCAAATTTTCCAAACTTTTATGCTCTGTTTCCCTTTTAAAACTGAATACCTTTAACAACATCCAAGTCACCTTTGCTTTGCTGCTTAGAAATTTCTTCTGCCAGATACCCTAAATCATCTGTCTTGTTAAAAGTTCCACAAATCTCTAGGGCAGGGGCAAAATGCCACCAGTCTCTTTGCTAAAACATAACAAGAGTCATCTTTGCTCCAGTTCCCAAAAGGTTCCTAATCTCCATCTGAGACCACTTCAGCCTGGATTTCATTGTCCATATCATTATCAGCATTTTGGTCAAAGCCATTCAACAAGTCTCTAGGGAGTTCCAAAATTTCCTACATTTTCCTGTCTTCTTCTGAGCCCTTCAAACTGTTCCAACCTCTGCCTGTTACCCAGTTCCAAAGTCACTTCCTATTATTTCAGCAGCATCCCACTCTGCTGTACTGTATTAGTTCATTTTCATGCTGCTGATAAAGACATACCCAAGACTGGGCAATTTACAAAAGAAAGAAGTTTTATGGACTTACAGTTCCAGATGGCTGGAGAGGCCTCACAATCACAGCAGAAGGCAAGGAGAGACAAGTCACGTCTTACATGGATGGTGGCAGGCAAAAAGAGAGCTTGTGCAGGGAAACTCCCATGTTTAAAACAATCAGATCTCATGAGACTCATTCACTATCACGAGAACAGTGCAAGAAAGACCTGCCCCCATAATTCAATCACCTCCCACCAGGTTCCTCCCACAACACGTGGGAACTGTGACAGTTACAATTCAAGATGAAATTTGGGTGGAGACAAAAGCAAACCATATCACTAGCCAACATGGTGAAACCCCATCCCTACCAAAAATACAAAAAATGACCTGGGTGTTGTGGCCTACACCTGTAATCCCAGCTACTCACGAAGCTGAGAGACAAAATTTGCTTGAACCGGGGAGGCAGAGGTTGCAGTAAGCCAAGGTCGCTGCACTCCAGCCTGGGCAACAGAGTGAGACTGTCTCCGAAAAAAAGATAAATAATTTTTTTTTAATGCAGGAAATAACTGAATTTGACATCTACTGGGCAGTAAAAGCCACTAAATAATAACATATTTGAGTTTAAAAGCATAGTCTAACATGGGTGAATTAATTTTGAAAGCACTTTTATGGAATTCAGAAAGTAGTATGACATTCAGTTGTCTAAAAACTAAATGCTTTTGAATTTCCTAAGATGCTTTATCTGAATCAGACTTTATGGAGGAAATGATTGTATTTAAGCCAGAACAAACATACTTTTCATGGAATGTCATTCTTTTGTGAAATATTTTGCTTACTAAACAGATAGAGGTAAGCATGAAATTCTTCCCAACATTGGATTTGCATTTTTCCCAACTCTTTCTAAAGAGAATTCTGGAATATTTGTATGGGTACCAATACCAGTTAGAAAAATGCAAAATAACAGTATTTCACTTTTGAAAAGGTATAGTATTTTTATCTTCTGAAATCTTTCCCTTCTTTAGCCTTCAGAAACTGTTTCATAAATTTGTCTAGCCATTCAAAGAGTTTGATGTTGTACACAAAATTGATTTTCATCTTTGAAGGTCTATCATTTGATTGTTAGTATTGGTCTGGCATACTATTAGCTTTTTCTTTTTTTCTTTTTTTCTTTTTTTTTTTTTTTTTTTTTTTGTTGTTGAGACAGTGTCTCGCTCTGTCACCCAGGCTGGAATGCAGTGGCGCAATCTCAGCTCACTGCAACCTCCACCTCCGGGTTGAAGCAGTTCTCCTGCCTCAGCCTCCTGAGTAGCTGGGATTACAGGTGTAAACCACCACATCTGGCCCAATCTGGCATATTTATTAAGTTTCTGTTACAGGAGTTTTCTTTTTAATGGAACCATTTGTTCAATTAAAATTATATTCATCTTCTTTAGTAACCCAATGTTTAAGACAGTTTA